GTAATGATTAGTACTCAATAATTATTAGCTATTATTATATACATAATGTTAGCTATATTGTTTTTGTTATCATTGTTATTATTATTGCCCATAAAAATGAAGTTACTTTTTTTTTTTTTTTTTGAGATGGACCTTTACTCTTGTTGCCCAGGCTGGAGTGCACTGGTGTGATCTTGCCTCACTGCAATCTCCACCTCCTGTATTCAAGTGATTCTCTTGCCTCAGCCTCCTGAGTAGCTGGGACTACAGGCATGGGCCACCATGTCTGTCTATTTTTTTTGTATTTTTAATAGAGACAGGGTTTTGTCATGTTGGCCAGGCTGGTCTCAAACGCCTGACCTTAGGTGATCCACTCACTTCAGCTTCCCAAAGTACTGGGATTACACGCGTGAACCACCACATTCAGCCAAGTTACCCTTTATTGTGGTCCTACAAAATCGTAGGCCCTATGCTGGGAAACTTATTTTTTTAAAATTATCTTTAGGATTTTTCAGGATTTGTGGAAATGATCCACCCAGGTACTCTCTCTCTATGTGGTGGCTTGTTCCTTTTATAGAAAGTAGCTGGACGCCTGCCTGGGTTTCTCTCTATCTGGAGAGTTCTCTAGGGGTACACACTGGGAAAGAGTGTCATCTTATTTCCCAAATCTATTTTGCTTTGACCTCCCCACCCAGACTCCTAGGAAGCAATGGTTTATTCAGGGCCATAGAAAAATCACTGTTGGAATGTAGGCAGGTACTGCACTAACTGGAGCTCTTTGGAGTGTGATATATTTATTGAAATAGCTGGCATACATCCTTGTAGAATAACTGGAAAAGATACATTTTCTAAGAAATTTTTATCTTTACTTGTGAATTAGTGCTGGATACCATCTAAAATTAACTTTTACTGTTTTCACGATATTTTATATATATATATAATCTCAAAATAGGATACCCTTGGTATCAGTTTTGGAGAAAATGATTAAAATTTTAATAAAAGTAACTATTGATCTTTACCTATGTTTTTAGAATTATTGTTCCTGAATTTATTTCTAGATATACTAAGGAATTCAGATAGTCTTAAGAAATTTGACTTCAGTTCATGGTAATACTGATTGTACCTAATACTCAAGGGTGGACCTTTGGGGATTATGCATGTTGATTCTGGGTGGGGTCCACCTTGCACTTAAGCAAAGGCCTGGGCTTTAAAAATTTGGCTAAGTCTGGTGTGCGCCTGTAGTCTCAGCTACTTGGGAGGCTGAGGCAGGAGAATTACTTGAACCTGGGAGGCAGAGATTGCAGTGAGCTGAGATTGCACCACTGCACTCCAGCCTGGCGCCTGGTGACAGAGCAAAACTCTGTCTCAAAAAAAAAAAAAAAATTTTTTTTTTTTTTTTTTTTTTTGGCTAAGTAAATACAGGTTGGAAAAGATTTGCCTTCATAACATTTTGTGTGAAGGGTCTTGGGATATTAGTTTATGGGAAAGTCAGTGTAAGCATAGTTGTGCACAGCCCAGAGAAAAGCAGGTGATAGCGGCACTGTACTTTCCATTAGACCACATCTGTACAAGTGCCTTTATTCTTGCATGCTGTATTTAAGTGGAAAATTGATTTAGTTGACAATGCGTAGAGCATGGTGACCAACATGGGGAAGGCTGGAAAGAGGAAGAAGGCAGAATCCATGCCCAGGAGGGGCTCATAGTTTAGATGGGGATGGGAGTATAAAGAAAGGAGCCAGGGATGCTTGGCCTGAAAAAGAAAGAAAGAAGAGGGACTATCATTGCTGTTTTCAAATATTTGCAGGAGAGGCAGACTTTCCTGGGAGCAAAGGCAGTTTGTTGGAACAACACACTTGGTTGAAGTCCAAGGCTAAGAGCTTACAAAATCTTTGACTTACAAACTCTGGCTTATAGTTTTATCATTTATACAGCTGCCTTCCCTGCAGACTCTTGAGAAGACCCCAGTACACCTGAGTCCTGAAGAGTGAGGACTAGTGAGGGGTAGACTGCTCACTAGATACCGCCTATGATCACTTCCAGGGTCCTCCTTCTACCTGCCAGCACCACGTGGTTCCTATTCACTTGCTTGTAGCATCAAACGTCTGCTCCCCTCTTCATGACCACCTGGCCAGGAAGTAAGGCAACACCTGGCGTACTACTATAGTGCTTCTAAACATAGATGTTAATGAACATGAATCATCTGAGAGTTTTATTGAAATGCAGATTCTGCTGTAGTAGACTTTGGGGTTATCCCCATAATCTGAATTTCCACAGGTGATGCGGCTATTGGTGGTCTGTAGGCCACACTGAGTCACAAGGTTCTACTACAGAACATGAGTCTTTGCCTCCAGGCTACAGCCAAATCCCAAATGACTTTCTGCTCAGAGTTGACTCGTCTTTATTTGTAGAGCATTGCAGCCTGGAAATACTGCCTTATTTTCCTCCCAGCCCTCATGAAAGAATTTTATCCAGATGTCGCTTAGCCATCCAGTGTTTTTATTATCCCTAAGGCCGCTTTAGCAGTTATCTGACATGTTTTTTCAAAAATATATCATCTTGATTTTCATCCAAGTTGCTTGAGATGCAGCACTTTTTGAATATGTGCAGAATGTGGCCAGAAACTTTAGTCTAAGATGCAAGTATCATTTGCCTGACATTAGGACAGACTTCTTTTCTCATAGCTATATATTTGTGATTACCCCCAGGTAACCACTGACTCCAGTGCTTTATAAAGTGATCTTTAGAGGCCTGTTTATAATACATTGAACACTTGCTCAATGAGGCCACAACCCCAAGAATAATGATGAAATCTGGTTAAATGTATTTGCCTCCCTGTTTAACGATTCCATCAGGTGACTTCTATGAGTATTTCTAATTGTCATTGATTGAAGCCCTTTCAAGTTTACGTTCCTTCCCCCAGTAGTTGCTTATTGGTCCAAATAAAGTAGTTGAGAGACTTCTCCTGATGTGTGAATCCTGGTAAGATCTCAAATATAAGTTCATGCTCTGTTTCTATACACGTGCTGAATAGTCTTGGGCAAGATACTTAATATCTTTGATCATCTATAAAATAGGGACAATGATATCTACCTTAAAGATATTAAAAAGATGATATCTATGAAAGCACTTGCCATATTCCTGGCACATGGAAATCATTTATTAAATGACTTTTATTGGCTCCTCATTTGTTCCTTTTAGGCCACTTTCGACCTTTTTTGCGGGGGAAGGACATATTTTACTTCCTTCTTTGCTAGTCACAAGGCACCTTCAGAAGTGGGATATATATTTTAAACCCCTTTTTAGCTTTCCATTATGTGTTCAGTAAAGACATGTTGAATGAATTAATGAATGGCCAATAGTCTGTAATGTCTTCTTGACCTCTAAGTTTTCTGATTCTTTAATGTTCTAACTACTTAGAAAAAATTGGAAAATTCCTTTAAAATTAATGCCTTCTTTGTTTAAAGCATTTCCTTCTGTGTAGTCTTATAAAGTATGAATTACATAAATTATTACTAATAAGTATGAACCTGGGCTCTGAAGCTGGCCACTATGGTAAAAATAGCCTCTTTTAGTTTATGACCTTGGGCATGCTGCTTTGTACTGGTGCAAATGAGGTAGGTCAGAAGCTGGTCTTGACTGTGCTTGCCCTTCACTGTTTACTTTGGAAAGATCTCTTGTGAAAAATGAGCAAGAAATGTGTATTTGTTCTTTGGCATGAGTTTTGGGATTCAGGCACAATAGAGGCTGAATTTCATGATATATTCATTTTAGTTCTCATGGAAGATGCATTTTTGTCTTTTAGAGTAAATACAGTTTGGCTAGTGGGGTTAGCCAGCTCAGTGGATTAGAATAGAAGCAGCAAGTTCTTCCAAATCTAGGGATTAAGCCTAGTTACCTGTCTAGGCAAGTAGCTCTGGAGCTGCCTACATGAATGAGTTGTTGGAGTTATCCATGGGGACTAGCAGTGCCTGGCGAGGCTGTCCTCATGACTTTGTCATCATGCCTCTGGTACGGGCAACGAACTGGCAGAAAGTGAGCACACTGTCAAATTTAGTTTGAAGTTTAAATCTGGCTTGGGTATGTTTAATCCTTAACCTCAGTTTTAAAGTTTTCTAAAAAGGATGATAATACCAGTCTTATAGGTTTTTTGCATGATAAATTAGTACATGTGAAATACCTAGTGCAAGCCCTGGCAGAGAGATCAGGCCCAATGTTGATGACAATGACACATTTCAGAAGAGAGGCATCGGAAACAAAATAGTTCTGGCACCCGTGAAAGTACCAGCCCTGTTGTGTGCCTGAGGAGTGTCCCAAAGTTGCTTGTTGCATTTTTTGACTGAAGTGCAGACCACGGTGGTAAAGCTAAGAATTTCTTATGGGTTTGAAAAACAGTATAATAATTTTGGAAAAGAAAAAAAATTGCATATTTTATTCTCTGATAATTCGAAATACTGATTCTTACGTGACTAGCTTCAACCTTTTCTCCTCTACTCATTATCTAGGAATTGTTATTCAATTATATATTTTTGTTTAGGGAGAAGAAAAAATGCACTAATCTTTTCATTCTGACAATATATTTCAATCCCTGATGTTCCTAATGTCCAACATGACTTCTATTTCCCTTTAATTCTTGAAAAAGTAAAGATAATAGATCTAAAAATAACTATCAATAGATCCATTCCACATGAATGGCCTTTTTTAGACGGTGGAAAGAGGGTTCTGATTTGTAGTTTTAAGTATTTAAGAAACACTGCACTGAGTGTTGCTAATTAGCTGTGGCTTGTTACCTCACAGTGGATCAATTGATCTCTATTTCAGAGGCTCAGAATGTCACCATGAGGGCTCTCAAACAATAGATGCATTGGGTTCCATACAGTGAATTGATTTCAGGTCTTAGCTCTTTGTGTCATGTTTAGCTAACTTTAGATTGTAAGAGACCTGGTAGTAAGGGCTTGAGGGATTGATGATGGCTGTGATATACAGAACTAAAGTGAAACAAATGTTTGTTCCTTTGCATACAGCTATTTTGAACTAGAGAGCAGCGGCCTGAGGGATGAGATTCGGTATCACTATATGCACAATGGGAAGCCAAGGACAGAAGCACTTCCGTACCGGTTGGCAGATGGACGATGGCACAAGGTTGCCCTGTCAGTTAGCGCCTCTCATCTCCTGCTCCATGTCGACTGTAACAGGTATTTCTTTGTCTTTGATCATTGCTAATTCTGCCCTTGAAATCAAGCAATGGAAAGGGGAAAAAATATCAAATTCCTTCAAGACTTGCCAGGAAACAAACACCAAGGGACTCTAATTGTAATTTAACCTACCAAATGGGACATTAGACATGCTGAAATGACCAACTGTAATATGATAAGAAAACAGTTCATTAAGATGAAAATGTATCCCGTGATTAGGAGCAAATGTACAAAAGGTTGATTGCAGATTGGGGAATAGTAAGTGCACCTCAGTGTGCTCCAGGCACTGGCTGGAATTCCATGGAGCTGTGATCACAGTTAATGGTGATATATTGTTGAGTTCGTTCCACTTGGAAGCGAATAAGCTCAGCTACCTCAGAATGAATCTGAGAAGCCTGTGCTACTGAAGCAGCTGGTTCTATTTCACTCCATCAAGCGTACCTTTGCTTAAATATCTTTTCCAAATGGAGGCTTCTTAAAGAGGCTGTTCTTTGAGCCTTTTGGAATTGATGCCATCTATTTTCTTCAGAGGAATGAGCCTTCCAGCTTGTCAGGGGATGGTGGGACTATTTGTGAGGTCTGGGGGGTTTCACAGGAGGTTTAGGGTTGGGTGGGATGGAAATGTCTCCTATGGCTCTCACTGGAGCCACTTAATGAAAATGGAAGAACGAGAAAGATCATTGGTTTCTATTGGATTATTTATGGCTGGACAGCTGGATAATGGTGTTCAAGGGAAAAGTTTTGATCTCTCCGGAACCCACTGAAAATCCTTATGAAAAGTGACCTTAGTCCAATTACAGAGACTTTTTTTTTTTTTTTTTTTTGCATTCTGAGTAGTGCCCATGTATTATGGATTCTCATTAATGATGCCATCCAAGTTGAAATGACTTTTCAGCCTCACAAGGCTTTCTCCCTTGAGCCCAGAATAAAGAACAGGCATATTGGGGATAGCCTCCCTTCTAAAAACCACCAAGAGGAGAGATATTCCAAGGTCAGTCAGCTTTACAGCACATTTATCGTGACGAGATGTTTAAATGTGCTTGTTACTCTGGCTCTGCAGTCTCTTTTAGAAGATTTGAAAGGGCAGGAAACTTGTGTCAGGCTCAGGGGAAGGTTTGCCATCTTGAGGTGAGTCTTGGTCCATTTTGATGTGAGCTATTTCAGGTGCTTTTTACACTTCTGAAGAATTGTGGTTTCAACCAGATATAATAAGTATGTCTGGACAGAGTTTCCATAGAAATCACTAGCTCCTTTGTACCCTGCAGACTGGGACTGGGCAGCCTGGATAAAGCCAATGCTTAGCTGCTATATCCATTTTCACTTTCAAGAGCTGATTGGCCCCTTCAGTTCCCTAGAATTAAAGTGGCCTGTCAGGTAACACTCCTATGACCCACCGTGACCTACCACCCACATGCTGTCCAAATAGGATTGCAGAGGAAGAGCACTGCTTGTCCTCCTAAGCCACAGGACAGAAAGAGGCCACAGAACCCTGGTTTAGTAATTTCCAATTTAATAGTCCTGGAGATACTGCTGTTTCCTTGCTATGCAGTGTTTTGTTTCTTCCTTCCAAAAGTTTTACCCTGTTTCCTGACATTCTTCTCTCTAGAGAAATTCTTAGGTGGTGCTTGGCCTTTAGTGCTTAGTCCACATTTGTGGTGGTGGTTGTTATTTACTTTGCATATCAATGACACCTCTTTGACCCTGCCTTCAAACTTTCATATGCTGTCAGTCCTTCATGGCAACCATGACCTCCCTACCAGGAGAATGAGAAGAGGTTGGGAGATCTGTAGTTCATAGTATTCTTTAGAGTCATTCCCATTTATAAAGAATTGACTGAGGGTATTCTAAATATTCCTTCTGTTTTCTTAATATTTTTTTGTACTTTGGCTTATGGGATAACATATCCCTTACGTAAGATCTTGGAGGGAAAACTTATGAAGTTGCTGCTAGGTAATGATTCATAGACTCCAAACACAAATACATTTTTCAGGTGGGTCAGGAGAAAAAATGGTCCCAAAAGACTGGGTCATAAGAAAAGTAAATTTTGATTTTCATGTAGGAAAAGTCTAGAAACATGGTTCCCAAATCTGACTATACATAAGAATTACCTGGGGAACATATTAAAAAAATGGATAACCAGGCTCTGCCTCTGACCTACTGGATCAGATTTTCTGAGAGGGTAACCCTGGGAGGCAGTATTTTTAACAAGCGCTCCATGTAGGTTCCATGCAGGCAGTCTAGTCTTGGTGCATGGACTGGCATTTCAATACCACTGGCTTAGAAAGAAGAGAAGGAATTTGATGGAGAGGCTGGGCTACAAAAATAAATAAAGTCTTGGAAAAGCAGTTACCTGAAGCATGGTAAAGAGGAGAAAAGGATTAAGGAGAAGGTAGCGTCTAATGCGCAAAACAAACCTTACCTTCTTCACAAGTTTCTTCTCAGCTGCAACTTGCCAACTTTACAGTAGCAGAAGCTTTGTCCCATATATCAAGATGCTGGTTCTACCACTTTTAATCTCAGCCACCCTCACAGGAAGTGAATTTCAGCTATGCATTTGAAACTACCTTGTGATTCTTATTTTTTTTAATCCCTGTCACCCTTAGAGTTTTTCTCAAACGCTCACCCAGTAGTGTCCTGCTGATTAGAGCATGAAAGGAGATGGTGTTAGGTAACATTTGAGTGTTAACTGTGCTAGGCACAGTGCTGTGTACTTTACATAGATTAACTTATTCCACATTCATTCTATTAGTTCTTCCTCTTTTTAAGATGAAGAAACAGAGGTTATATATTTGTCTGCGATCCTGCTACTGATAAATGGCAGCACTAGGATTTGAACCCAAGTCTTAACCTAAGTGTCTGCATCTAGCTACTAGTAGGCTATTTAGCCCAACAGTGGGGACCATTGACACCATATTTGGAACATGAGGGAAGGCCAAGATTCAATGCAAGCAGTTTGTTTCTTTCTAGTATTTCCCTCTCACATGTCTTATATTGCTAATCCTGGGAGATGCTTGGAGAGATGAGGAGTGTAATTGAGGGAACCCTTTACATTGGTGCTGGACAAGGGATCTACATTGATTTAGTCTCTCCTGTAGGCCAGGTAATGTGCTAGGAATAGTATTCCTTAGGATAACCATATGGGGACAGTTTTACTAGGCCCATTTTTCAGATTTGGAAATAGGCTCAAGATAAATAACTAGCTGTCAATCACATAATATAATAAGCATATAACCAAAACTCTGAGTTGGAATCTACCTTCCAAACCTTAGTCTTACCCACCCTCCAGGTCACCTCTATAGTGTGCTCGTGACATATACTGCCAAAGACAAGGCCACAACCACACCAGGGAGTCTTCCCAAGGGAGAGATACCACGGAAGGTTCAGGGATCGTGAAAACATCTAAAGTCAGGAAGAGAAGATTTCCCAGATAATTTCATTGCTCTGAGAAATATTAATGTGGCAAGATTTCGCACATTATTATTTTAGGTCAGAATTGAGAGACAGAGCTTTTTCAGACCTAATTGCACAAATTGTCATGAGAAAAGAAACTGCTATTTTAGTTGGTAGCTTGACACTTTCTGCTTGCTACTGAGGCACTTTTCTCCTCGCTTCAGCTGTTTAGCTGGGCCTAGTCAGAAGCCCCTGATGTGTTGGTAGCAGATTACCTCAAGCTAGAAACATAAAAGGAACCATTCAGTTGGGTGGGCAGACTGCTTATCTCCATTGCCTTGGGTTTTTCTCTGGCTGCCTTTTATATTCAGTGTTGTCAACAAAGCCTAGAATGAAATCTGAACAAACCTTCCTTAGATTCACCCTCTCCCTTCTCAGTTCACTTTACAGCCTGTCTCCATTACTCAAAGGACAGAATCCACCAACATATGGGATTCAGTTCATAAGTAACCTTTTTAATTCACAACAAAATGAATTTAATTTCCTCCTCTTTATTTGTAACTTTTAATTTTCACTTAGCCCATCACTATCTCTGTGAGGCTTTGCAGGATATGAGGAAATAAGAGTCCTTGCCGTCAGGAGGTTTATGGCTTTTTCATTTAGTCATTTAAAATTCATTCTGAAACCACCAGGGCCTCTCACAGTGATTGGGCCTAGTCCCTGGATATCAGAATCAGAAGAAGCCTGGATGCAGATAGGAGCCCTGTAAGCAGCTGATTTGATAACTCACAATGGCAGCTGAGCAGTGGAAAGAACTGGAAACAGTGAATCCCAGCATCTTGGTCTTGAAGTGACAGTGGAACTGAGCTCTTCAGCAGCTCAGGAATGCATGGCTTTTAATTCACTCAGCCTTTGGCCAGCCCTTTTTGTAATATACAGGCGTCCCTAGCATGTGTTAACTTCCTCATGCTTCACTGCTGGAAAAAGTCAGCTCTTAAGTGCAGTCTACCACATTTCAACTTAGCTCTGAACTCTCATCTTATTTGCTCTGACTTGTTCAACTGTGTATGGCACATACACACACATCTGCAGCCTGATTGTCACCTTGACAGGGAGTTAACAAGTGATTATAGTCTAGACTAGACTAAACATATTTGGCTTTTACTTTTAACACATGCTATTTATTACCCAGAGAGCACATCTGATTTTTGCATACAACTGATCTTGAAAAGCATGCAGAATCCAAAACTAGCCACAAATCACTAAATGAGCCAGTAATTCAAGGTTTCCATCTAAAATTTCGGAGTAATTTCAGGATGTAAGCATCTGTTTATACGTGTAGACTCTTCATAATGAAACATGTTGATATGACATCTTCCTTCCAGAGAGCTCCACAACTACTTACCAATGTCATATTATTAAACCTCATATTTTTTGAGTTAGTTAAGTCACAAGTATAATGTATGACATCGGTTTTATACAAGCATTTCTGCTGTAGTCTGCAGAGGGAAATTAAGAGATGACTATCAAAGGTCTCAGCTTTCAAGAGAGCCAGACTGAGACTCTCAATCTCCTGGTTTTCCAACTGATATACTCGTCAATTCATAAAC